CTCATGTTACCAATATTTCTATTATCTTTGAACATGCATCTATGTATTAAACATTAATTTGGATACGCCATTGTAAATCTATAATTATCTTCATGAAGCAGTGGTTCATGCTTTTACCAGTCAAAAGCAGCATAATATTAAATTGAAAATGAAATCGGTATAATAATATGAAAACGCAATAGCATCAAGGAATCTAAGAATATCTATTGTCATGATACAGTCAAAATTTGGATTCAGGTGCTTAAACATATGGTAGGTTAAATATATATAAAGATAAAAAAAATTGAAATATATTCAGTATTATATTAAGACATTTAACTTACAATATATCAAACAACAAAAAAAAGAGTAATGTATAAAACAAATAAGGAATACCTGTAAAAAGTCGATTATTGCGAGAAGCAATCATGACATATTTAATAATAATAATAATAAATTTTAGTCCCGCACTTTCACTAAAATAGTGCCACTCAACCTTCCCAGAGCCCTTCTAAGCACTCAGGATCCTACAGTCATATTTTTTTTAAATAATTCAACCAACGGGTAAAGGGTAGTTTACTGAGTTTTGAGTGTCAGAAATATGGAAGGTGAACCAGCCTAATTATTCAGAATTTTGAATATGTCCATCAAACATAGAATTGGAGTTATCATTTCTAATGCGTATAACGTTATAAAAAACAATGATTCTACCTGATTGTATTATTGAAATATTTTATATGTTACATTTATAATAATGATACCCAAATATTTATATAGCCCCAATTCCAAACTGAATGATCAAAGGCGCTGAGCATTATTAACACAGGTCACTGGATAACAACATCCTACCAGGTACCATGCTAGATAAAGTCCCTTGCTAAGGACACAAGCGCAGTGAAAGTTTCGAACCCCTGACTAAGGTTGGGAGTCTAAGTAAAGCAACAACCGATGCGCCAACCGTTTCTATATGTTCACAATGCTACGCAACAAACTATGATTTGATAATATTTATTTACTATACTTTCATTCTCGCTAGCCTACTTTAGCTTGACTTCACTAATGTGAGATAAAGACGTGATTTATATACAAACCCAAGTAGTTATCATGATATATAATATTATTATATAATATCGAATTTCGGTTAAGCTAAGAAAATGTTTTTCAAATGTTACATTAAAAGGAGGTTTTTGCCCCGGAAACATATAATCTATACCTGCAATAGTAGGTAAGATGGAAGCATCTACGCTTGCAACACCAAAGCGAATTGAAGGCTGTGTCAAACCAACTACTCTATACCCTCATTAGACCGTCGTTAGGAAGTCAAAATCCTCCTCGGATAGGTTGTTGGCGATGGAGGCGATACCGTATGTGGCTGAATGTATGATGACTGAGAAAAACAGTTGTTCTAGAGATTCCAATGTCGTTAGGAAGTCAAAACCCTCCTCGGATAGGTTATTGGCGATCGAGGCGATACTGTATGTATATGTATGTAAAAACAGCCGTTTTAGAGATTCCAGTGACATGACAATGTCTAGTCTAATTATGAGGCTTATAGAGAGGATTTTGGTTTTGGTCATGTGAGATAAAAGTCCTGCTGCTCTGTCACAGAAATTGACCAGAACTCTGGAAAGACAAGCATCTTAGTAACTAATCTATACACAACTCCACTAAAATAATTTGGCTCTGATTCTGATTATCTTCGCACCGCCTCTATGGCGGAATACTCTCCTCCGTCGTACGACGTTGTGTCAACGCTTTGTTCATTACTACTTATCACATTGTCGAGATCCTTGACCAGACATTCAAATGACGGTCTGCTCTCAGGTGTGCTATGCCAGCATGCATTCATAACTGAGTATCTGAAATCAAAATGTTAGGTAAAATGTTCATCATCAGTCATTATGGCATTAATTACCATATTTATGAGAATGAACGCTCCGAGGCGTTTATTGTTGAGAATGGTTTTTGAACGGGCGTTTATTCGGGGGAGGCGTTTATTTATTTATTTATATATTTTGTGTAAAATTGGTACGTCTGTACTCAAATAAATGCCTCTTAATTCTACTGAAAATGTTGAACACATAATTACCATCAAATGTGATATTTCGTGATCATAAAAAGAAAAAAAATGTAACTCTACTGGAGTAGAATATTAATAGACTGTGTTGAGTATTAAGTTTGTCCCATTAGATAATCTTCCAGTCATTTAGGAGGGCGTTTATTCGAATAAATGATAAATGCCTCGGGCCGAGGCGTTTATTCCAAATTAAGGCCCTAGAGGGGGTTTTTTCGAAGTGGGGGTTATTCAATACGGGGCGTTTATTCGAATAAATACAGTTTTATCTTTGCTACTAACATTATAAATATATCATCCTCCGTCTAATCGTATCATTATTACTCTCATCTCTCGGAAGGAGAGGTGAAGGGTACGACAATAGCGGGTGTCTGTATGCGTGCGAGAGATGGACCGCGGGTCTATCTACATAAATATGGCGCAACAGGGCGAGTGTTCGTAATCGCAGATTATCTTATTATCATCATCATCATAATATAGAATATCATTATCAACATAATTATCATGATCGTCACACTGCCCTGCTCTGAGAAAAGGCATTAAGTACATTTTTCAAAATTGAGATTTTTAGCTTATGTGACTCCTGAATGTCTAATCTATCACCCTATTTTATCAAATTTCCAAAAATATGTCTGGAAATATGAAATTTTATTTTAAAATTGGGCATTATCTGCAAATTTCACTATAAATACTCTGAGAAAAGGCATTATGTGCGCGAAGCCTTACATATATGCATTGAACGCTTGACTTCACGCAAGCCAGATATTAAGTAACCAATCAGATGCTAGTATAACGAATATCTAACTAATTAGCTTGGAATCCTTAGCAACTAATGCCTAGTTAGTAACTGCTTTATTTCGAAGAATACTCTGAGAAAGTGCATTTATCTGCTTTATATTTTACGGCGTTTATTTATAATTCTGTGATTAATGAGATACTTTTGCCGAAATGATGCAAGTTACAGCGCAAGACCTTTTTTAGAAGTCTTTTGGAAGAGTAAGTACAATATTGTATTTATTATGTTTCATACCTATTAAGTATTAAATTTAGATTATTATTATTATTTAGTAGTATTATTTTTTCTTTTATCGACATTGTATGTTTTGTATTGTGTTTATTATTATTATTATTATTATTAATTATTATTATTATTATTAGTATCACTGTTATTGTTACTATCATCATTATTATTACTCTTTCAGGCAACCAAGTGGTAAGCCAAAAATGGACAGACACAATTTTCGCCACCGAGATTGTGCTCCACTTCGAGGAAGGGACATTGAGTAATGCAATTGTGAAAGAAAAAGTGTAAATAACTATTTAAAAAATTGTAAAAGTCGGAGCATTGTAAATAAAACTTTTAAAATGTTTTGCACTCATTTGTATGTTGTATTGTACAGTATCATTATCATTGTAAAGATAATAGTTGCAATGTATATTATAACTTAATAAATATAAATTAATTAATCTTATATGTAAAATTAGCACACCATTTTTATATATACTTTTCTACTTGTTATTGTTATTTAACAAGTTATTATCAATAAACTTTGAATTTGAATTTATAATGCTTTGTCTATAATGGTAATGATTATGATGATGATGATGATGATGGTGTGGATGATTGATAATTGATGATGATAGTTTACGATCAGACTTTAAAATACTGGAAGAGATTTTGGCCTTTTGGCTCCATTTAATATCAAAATTGTTCCAGGATTTAAGAAAGGATGTAAGAAAGATTAAGTTTTTTATACTCCATGTTTGGCTTAGTAACTTAAAGGTTTGTATTAGTATGTCTACAAAATATAATTGAAGGTAGTATTTATTAGATAGGCTTATGTACGAGTACATGGTACCATTTTAGCACAACAAATTCTAATAAGCTCCGCTCTCAAACTATCACTGGTTTCGGGTGACCTCGGTACTGAAGCCTCTACAAACGTATGGTTAATGGAAAATTTACAATGAACCTAGAAAATAAACCACCATACTTACAATTCGTCGGAGCAGTTTTCGGGTTTTGTCAGCCGCAAACCTCCAATTACTTCCTCGACAATTGTGTTAATCGACATTTTTTCATATGGTTTTGATCCTGTTTAAAAAAAAAACATGTAAAAAAATAATAAATGTAATATTAATATAACCATATGATTTACCACAATGAAAATAAGCTTGCCTTTTCAAAATATATTGTGTGTTTTAATCCTTCGATATAATTTTTGTATTTAAGATTAGGATTTTTAAAATGTTTAATCCTCTCTCTCGTTACAGCGGAATTTTGATGGATTATCCGAGGAGCAGTTTTTCTTATTCTTCTTCCTTATGATTTGGTCCTGGATTGGTAGCTGCCAACGTTAAATTGAACCTTCTCAATGTTTTATAAATAATTATTTTTAATGCTTTTCTGTAGAAGCGGTTGGCGCATCGGTTGTGGCTTGGACTCCCAACCTCGCGGTCGGGGGTTCGAAACTCTCGCTGTGTCAGGGGTTCGAAACTCTCACTGTGCAAATCGCTTGTGTCCTTGGGCAAGCCACTTTATCGGTTGCCTCTCTCCGCCCAGGCGTACAAGTAGGTTCCAACGCAACTGCACTGATTACTAGCCGCAATATTATATAATATAATATAATTTAGTGTTCAATGTGTTCCATATATGTTTGATCCAAGTTTATATAATACTTTCTGAAATGATTCAGAAGAAGCATGTTGCGTGGTGGACGCGAAGTAGCAAAGATTAATATATAATATTATATATACATGTAGGCACATTTTTACAGTATTAGTATTAATTTCATTGTATATTAATAATATAAATGCAATTATTTTATATTCATTGAGGAGACTATTATTTATTATTTATAGATTATTTATTTGAATTTCATTTTCATTTGTTTCAGAACAAATAATGTAAGTGCATAATAAAATTCATAACATCTGTGTAATTTACCTAGAGTTAGTATCTCCCACATCAGCACTCCGAAAGACCAAACGTCGGACTTCATGGAAAATAATCGCTTATTGGTACTCAGTCCCTCCACTGCCGTCCAGCGTACAGCTAGTTGAATCTAAGAAAAAACATGTTACAAAATGATTACAATAAGTAAATAAACATGTCTGCCTATGCCGAGTGTATAACTGTTAGGGCCTATCAAATAATTTTTTCTAGTGTTATTAAATTCAGCGTAGTAAAGATGTAATCCCAGATTCATTAACTCATAAATAAATGTTGAGGTCGCATAATAGTTAATCAACCTATTATACGTATATATGTATAGGTACGCCAAAGAAAATATACTTTTATTGCCTACTTTTTCTGTCTCAACGAATGTACCATCGATGTCTGCTTCAACTGCTCTTCCAAAGTCTGTGATTTTGCAAACCATGTTGTCACCAACCAAGATATTTCTTGCTCCAAGATTTCTGTGGATGATCTGCAAGAAATGTATAGATATTGTAATAATAATATTGATACTGAATTTAACAGTCATTAATATTTATAATAGGCTTAATCAATTCTGTCTTTTAACTGCGATTTTGATGAATAAAAAACGGTATACGTATAACAATAATGGTGATAGTAATGTTAGGCTAATAATGATGATGAAATTAATAATGATAATAATAAGCTATTATTAATAATGATAATAATTATAACTTAATAGATAAGGAAATAAAATTAAGAAAGGGATAAACGGCAACTTTGTAAGGAACTAAATTAGGGTAATAAAAATACATTTAAAAAAAATGATGATTAGGCCTATCATGTTGATTATAATAATGATAAGAAAATGCAATGTGTAGCCATGTTGCAAAAAATATAATTTACATGTAATTATTTATTAAAGTAGGCCTACATTGTTTTGTTGGATATGCTGCATTCCAGAACACACTTGCCGCGCGTACGTACACAGCCGAGCAGATGATATTTCCTCAATTTGGTTATCGTACAGCGGTTCTTCGGAAAGTGATTGTAGATATTTTGAGAGATTTGTATAAGGAGCAAACTCCATTAACAATGCAACTGGATCTACACACAACACCCAATATAAAGAAATTAACAGAAATTACACTATAAAACGTATTACCAATAATGCTAATATTACAGTTTTTAGAGTAAATATATTCTAAATGAAATTAAGTTTGTCTGACTTATTTGCATATGACACATCTTTGTTTTCCACTTTCTCTGAGCTAAAAACAATTATGAATTTATTATTTATTTAACATATTTTTAGTTTTTATGCGTGATAATAATAATAATAATAATAATAATAATAATAATAATAATAATAATAATACAATAATAACATTAATTTATTATCATAAAACAACTAACAAGAATCGTTCAATATCTATACATACCCCTGATGCTTGTGAAGCCAAGTAATCGGATAATGTTTTCATGCCTTGGCAACAGTCTGATCATCCTTATTTCGTGTAACATTCTTTCCTTTTCCTTGACATTATGATCCTCTAAGTAAATAAAGTTGGAATATTGTTCAAAGTCAAATTATTAAAAGAAAAATAAGGAATCACATCAATAATTCTATCTTGCTAAATAAAAAAAATAATGAATTTAAACGGAAGTCGCAATAGGTACGGCAATGTTAAAGTAATTTATGAAAGTTCACTATATATTGTGTTCAGCAACAAGGTCCAGTTATGCATTTTAAACTACAGTAATTATAAAGTTTTAGTATGAGGATAGAAGTGGAATTGAGGTGGATTTCTATGTCAAGACGTAGTCCAGGTGTCTGTCTATTAAGATTTAAAACGAGAATCTATGGGATTGGAAAACTAAGAAATATGGGATTAGAAGGCAAGTGTCTTACCTCTTAGAGTCTTAATTGCGACATTTGTTAGACCAAGACTAGGAACTCTACCTCTATACACCCGGGATTGGTTTCCTTCGAGAATTACGTCATCTTTACGTAATTTGTCCGGATGAATCTCATTTGCTGAATTGTTTTCTATAAAAATTATATAAATTCTCATAAAATAATATCGATCAAACCATTTCAAAATTAGGAATTATATGTAATGGTTTGTTTTCTGAAATCCAATTCAAGTTAACACATTAATTAGAAAATGGTATTAAATGAAAATGCTTATTTAATATGCAGATACTAATGACTACATTTCGCATAAACATTAAGCAGTATTACAAGGGAAATAAATAAATTCATATACGTGTTCTGTTGGTTGACAAAATAGTTAAAATCCCTTTAAATATTCAACTCAACATTGAATAGCCATTCAACATTGAATGGCTATTCAAAAAGCATATAATAAGATATCAATTAAAACAAATGACATTTTCTTTCTTTATTTATTCAATTTCTCTGCCTTATAATTATAATTCTAAAACCCCCCCAAAAAGGATTGATTGACATTTCAGGCAGAGTGTTGATATTCAAAAGTTTTACTATCAAAACTCTTAAACAACTCTGGTGTCAATAACAAAAAATATAGGAAAGGATTTGTTTATGTGTCAGTTAATTATCATAGAAAATATCTTCTTATTCTTATTTTTATTTTAAAGTTACTACTATGTATACAGAGAATCAATATCAAATAATATTGGATTTTATTTCTCATTTCTTTGAAACAAATTACTTCTTTAAAAAAAGTTATTTTTGTATTATGCTAATCGAATATTAACTGTTTAGTGCATACCTCTGCCATGTGCCTGAATATCAGAATCATACATACGTGGCGTATATGGGCGATACCATTATTTTTTATTATACCTAAGGGGTAAGATTTAGACAATTTTATATCTGGTCCAGGGATATTTCCATCCAGAAATTTAAACACCTCTTTTTAGATCAAAATGGACGACTCCGCTAAATTGTATAATGTTTCATTCATTAGTTTTTGCGTAGTCCTGCAAATATAAAAACAGCCAGACAGACAAACAAACAGATAACCACATAGTCTCCTCGGAGGAGGAAATAAATACCTTGCATGACTACTCCTTGTGAAAATGGTACAATATACTCATCTTCTACTAGCCCCTTCATTGAAGTTGGCAGATAGGGTGTATATTCAGGCGGATGGCAATGTGAAGTGGCATATGGATTAGGTTCCAACTCCTAAAAATCAACACATTCGTATCATTAGGATGTTTTGTATTATTTTGAAAACATTGAAAGTCATGAAACAAATTAATTACAATGTTTAATCGATGTCTTACATTGGTGTCGGCTGAATTTTCATTTCCCGTGTTATCTTCAAATTTTTTAGGCTGAAATAGCAAGAATAAACAATAATTATAAATGTAATAATAAATAATAATAATAATAATAATAACAATTATAATAAAAGTAATAATAATAATAATGATGATAATAATGATAATGATAATAATAATAATAATAATAATAATAATAATAATAATAATAATAATAATAATAATAATAATAATAATAATAATAATGGAGGTGTATAATATAATGCCTCCGCCCACCTCGCAATTCTCCCATTGACAATGATGAACCATTTAAAAATGTTTTTCAGATCAATTTATCATATTATTTTTTATATCTAGGTCTAGGAAGTTCCCTTTATGTGGTTCTTATATCCATACACTATTTAAGATCGTCGCCAAGATTTTAACTAATTCTTTCATGGAACATGGACAGTTTCATTTAGATCCATAACAAGTGTTTGAGACAATCTTGTCTGGGAACTTAGCAATTGAAATGACCTCAAAATCCACACCCACGTCTGGACCGTCCCCAAAATGTAATCACTTCTTCCTTGTAATAACTATTCCAGAAAGTTTCATTCAGTTGTCCAGTTTTTGAGACATCTGGTCTGGGACGTCTCTCTTTAAATGGTCCTCAATCCTCATATCCATACCCTACCCCGGGTCCTCATCAAAATTTAATTATTTCTTTCTTGGATCATTGCAAACCATTCTAAAAGGTTTCATTCAGATCAATTGATGAGTTTTGAGATATTTAGGTGAAATTTTATAACTATTAGTGCGCTACTAAGTGTGTATAAATTAAAGATGGTCAGTTCTAGTATTAAAATGGAAAAAAAAATCTTGTCGAGGAATTGGGTATAAGATATAAAGACATATTGCAAGAAATGCCAAGCAGATATATTCAAAACGGTTTCAAATCTAGGAAAACCAGGCGAATCCATTTTACGTAGATGTTTAAAAAAAATGTAAAGAAACACTATAACTTTATGGCAGTATAAAAATGTTTCTTAATTTATATCTACTAAAGTTCAAACCACTAAGGAGTATAGAAGATTTGTTGCTTATCATTTGTTCAGGTTGTAATAGTGATTATATTGGTAAGACAGATAGATGCTTATTAACTAGACTTAAAGAACATTTTTCACGATCTGATAGTGTTATATTTGATCATGTACAAAATTTTAGAGGCATTCCGATATGTTTCAGACTTACAAGGTATACTTGAAAATGAAGATGTTCATGGTGTGTAATGTAAGTAATAAATTAAGTTTATTATTTTCTAATACTAACATTATTGACAATTCCCAAAATTTGTCTATCCTGTTTAATGCAGCCTTTGCTATTGTTAAAAAATGTGTTAAGTACTATATAATAAACTTACGTTCTGCCGCTTACTACTTGCTTTGAACAGGACTAGGCCTATTACAAGAAGAATAAAAAACACTACACCTAAAACAATGCCATTTATTTGTCCAATACTCAAACCGTGGGGTGGTGTAGAATCAATGTGGATTAAAACAAAATCTGTTTTAGTGTTATTAACAACATCCGTCGCTCGAATCCAAAATTTAATGGTTTCTTTTCCATTATTTGTTTGGTAAACAAACATTTCTTCCTGAAAAAAAAATCCATAATTTTAGTACATTTAGAATTGTTACAAATGTCTACAGTAGCCAGTTTACTACTTGTTTGTTGCTTGTTTAGTGTAATTCAACATTTGTTTTTACTTTTGGTATACAATGTACGTACAATATATAATGCTTGATCAAATAGTCAAGGGTCAGTGGCGGCTGTACGGGGGGGGGGGGCTAGGGGCTGCAGCACCCCCCCCCGTAGGGGGTAGGGAAGAAAAACCACAATTCGTCGGGTATATATTCTGTACATATTATAGACTCTAAAATCGATTAAATAAGTCTCTGAAACCCCTAAATTGTCATATTTTCGGGGGGCTACGTCCTCTGGACCAATTTCGAAAGGTTTTTAGAGACGCCCGACCACACCCACTTTGGGCATCGCCCCTCCCCCATGCCCTCCGGTCGGGAACCTTGAACCCCACGTCTGGGAAATCTTGGCGCCGCCACTGTCAAGGGTACAATTAGTAATTTTGAGAGTTGAATGATACATAATTCATTAATAAACAATATAAAAGAAAAACAAATAATACCGCAATATAACGCATCATCTAAAAATAATTTCTCATAATAATTAAGATTTGCAATAAAAATATTTACGTAGGCCTATATACACAATTACATAATTTGTGTGAACTATGGTAGTGGTAGTAGCAGCGGTAGCAGCAGCAGCAGCAGCAGTATTGTGACAAACTTAACGCTGAATCAACTGTACCAGGTCATTTGGTAAAGCCATCCAATCTGGCTGAAGTCCATCTTTAGCAACTCCAACTTCAAACTTTACAATTCCATGTCGATTGTTAATGGATGATAGAGTACGCCCTGCAGGTAAGGCGTCCGAATCGTAGGCTTCATTAATGACGTCATTGTCGATTTCAATGGCGTGCAACATAATTTGGTCCTCGTGTAGTTTGTTAACAAAATGACCCTGCCATGACACTTTAATCTGACAACATATTAATAAAAAGAATCGTCAACAATAACATAATCAAGGTCATTGTCTTCACAAACAACTTATCTTTCACTCTCATTATCTTCATCATTATTATTACCTGCACCACCACATTCATAGTTATCGTCATCATAATAATAGAAATATGTATTATTATTACTATTATTATTACCTCCACTTAAATATATTATTATAATCATCATCATCATCATCATCATCATCATCATCATTATTATTATTATTATTATTATTATTATTATTATTATTATTATTATTATTATTATTATTTAATCTACCAACATCAATCACCAAAAAGGCATTAATTTTCAAAAATTTTGGAAATAAATTACTAATTCTATTGAAAGAAAGTACACTTCTGTAAAATATATCTTCTTCCTCTTTTTATGAAAAGTGAATAAAACGAGAAACGAATAGAAAGGAAGAATGAAGGAAAAATAACGAAAGGAGATGAAAAGTGAGAAAGGAAAGTGAAAGACAAGGAAAGAACAGAAAGAAAAAATGGATGTGGGTGAGAATAAAACAAGAAAAAGAAAAGGACAGAAAAGGAAATAGAAAAGAAAGGGAAAAGGAAAAATGAAATAAAAGAGTAGAATAAAAAGAAAAGGAAAGGTAAAAGAAAAGAAAAATGAAGAAAAAAGGAAAGAAAACAAAAGAAGAAAGAAAAAGAAAAGAAAGAAAAGAAAAATGAAAAAAAATGAAAAAGGAAAATAAAATAAACGAAGAAAGAAAACGAAAGAAAAGAAAAGAAAAATGAAAGAAAATGAAGGAAGAAATATGAAATAAAAAAGAAAGACAATGAAAGAAAGAAAAGGAAAGAAAACATAAAGGAAAACGAAAACGAAAGAAAGAAAATAAAAATGAAAGAAGGAATATAAAATAAAAGAATACAGACAACGAAAGAAAGAAAAGGAAAGAAAACGAAAAGAAGAATGAAAACGAAAGAAAGAAAACAAAAAATAAAAGAAAATGAGAGAAGGAAAATGAAATATAGAAGAAAGAAAACAAAAGAAAAATATAAAAAAGGGGAAAAATAATGAAAGGAAAATGAAAGAAGGAAAAGTAAAAGTAGAAGGAAAAGAAATGGAAAAAAATGAAAAAAACTAATCTGAAAAGAAAAGGAACGGGGAAAAAAAGAAAAAGCAGAAAAGGAAAGACAAAGGGAAGGGAAAGGGAAAGAAAAGAAAGAACAGAGAATGAAATGATGGAACGAATGAAAACAAGGTAGGTATAAATTTAAAATACTAAGGAAAACGCTCGAAGGAAAGAAAGGAGAACGGTAAGGATAATATTAAATATAAAACAAAAAATAGGGGATGGATAATGAAAGAAATGAAAAAGAAAAGAGGAAAAGAAAAGGGGAAAATGAGAGTAATAAAGTGTAATATGAAAAGGAAAGAAGATATATTAGACGAAAACTGTAAAGATTTTTGAATTTTAACTTAAAGTTTTGCAATTGCCTATTTGGATTAATTACTATTATCGTTAATATTTTTAAATATATTTTATTTATTTATTTATTTTTTCTTTTTTCTATTTTATTTATTTTTTTTTTATTATTATTTTTATTTAATTTTATATTTTTTTTCTTCATTTTGTAGTAAAATCACACTCACACACACGCACACACACACCCACATACACGTAATCGAAATGGTCTAGTTTTAGCAAGAAAGCAATTTCCTGATATTCTTCTGCAACACAGGCATCTGAAACCTTGCAGTGACGGACTTACTAGTCTTTTGCAAGATGTAAACACGTAAATATAAACGTATTATTATTATTATTTGGAATCAAGGGTCGCTGGTATGTGTACCATGACTCAAACCGTGTTCCCTGGGCTTTTCAACGTTTTGCATGTTATTTTCAAAGTTTTTGTAACTTCAAGAAACAAATCTTCGAGAATATTACGTTTGAAGGAACAATTCAGTTATGGTATGCAGTTTAATAAATGTTGTGGTCTTTTTGGCAACAAGTTGTGTAGGCCTCAGTATGGTCAGCATTGGTGGCGCCAGGATTGCCCCGACGGGGTATCCGAGTTTCCCTACATGGAGGGGGCCGATTTCCACGACGAAAAAAGTGGGCGTGCTCGAGGGTCGCTCAAAATCCCAAAAAAGTATCCATGGGAAGCCCCCGAAAAATTTAACAATTTAGGAGTTTTAAAGGCATATTTAATCGATTTTAGGTCTACCAATATATAGAAATTCACACATTTTTTCCTCCCCAATAAATTGTGGTTTTTCTCCCAGACTAGGGGTTATGGTCCAGGCTCCCTCCCCCTGGTGCACCCCTGAAGGTAAGTACCACTAAAACGGACGATCAGAGACGTGGATATTTGATTAGAGCTCAGATGTACATTCCGATCTTTCATGTAAACAGGCTTAGCTACTCGAAAGTAGAACTACTATCACTGAGGAATCGAACTACAATTCAAGCGAACATTTCAAACACAGTTTTAGAATTTCACCTTTCAGTTTCTGTTTCAGAATAAAAGGTTTCGAGAAGGTACGAAAATTAGGAATTCGCCTTCCAGTTGTTATGTTTACACGGACAAGCCGAATTCGTGTCCAATTATTATTGGAAATAGACCATTTAACCAAAGAAACAGAAATCGATATTAACGGACCACCAAGCAGTTTCAATTAAAATAGACCTGCATGAACCAAAGTGAGGGTATGGGCTCTGGAAATTCAATAACAGCTTTTTAAAAGATGAATTTTATACAAAAAGGATTAATTAAAATAATGGATAAAACAATACTAAAAATTACAGAAGCATTAAATTAAATTCAGTTCTCTTATTCGAACTTATAAAAACAATAATTGAATTTTCGAGTTAAAGAAAACACCATAAAACTATTATAAAAAGAGAAAAACTACAAAAAGAGAAAAAATATTAACAACAATGATGTAGATTCAAATATTGAATATAGCATAGAGAAGAAACAAAACGAATCTATATGACGTTGAGGCTAAAGGTGCACAAATTAGGTCAAGATCTCGTTGGATTGAAGGGGAGAACGTAACTCAATTTCTTTCCTTGGGTTAGAAAAATCAAATAGCAAAAAGAAGCAAATAAAATGTTTGATTACTGAAAGGAATACTTTAGTTACAGACCAGGCAGATATTCTCAAAGAGCTAGTCACAAACACTTTAAAAATCTATATACAAATAAAATTATATCTCCTGAACTAATCAAAATTTGATGAACATGTTAGATTAATACTTTTTCTTCCGTTAAAGTGCAAACTTCATTAATTGAAGACTGGAGCACTTGGTGGAAATTGATGCAAGCTGGCGGAAATTTAATTTAGTAGGCCTATTCCTATTTGATGACTTGCTTTATTATACAGAAAGTCATGATTATGAAGGAGCAATTGTCGTCTTGGATTTTTAAAAAGCATTTGATTCGATAAATAGAGAGTTTATGTTTTTAGAGCTTAAAGCTTTAATTTTGGAAATCCTTTTCGAAATTGAGTTAAAAGTTTGTAGTATAAAAATGTAAACTATGTTACAATAAATAACGGATGGGTTTCCGAAAATTTTGAGATGGAAAGAGGAATTCGACAAGGCTGTCATCTGTCGGTTCTCTTTTGTATCCTTGTAGTTGAGACAATGGCCGCTAACATAAGAAGCAGTGATTTTATACAAAGGAATTAAAATCCCTTGTGAAGAACAGTATATAGAAACTTGGATTAGTACACTAGCTGACGAAACGGTACCATACATTGGGGATGAAAATACACTGCAATCGGCTGTTAACATTATTGAACTTTTTTGTAAGACGTCTGGTATGGAGTTGAATAGACATAAAAACAAAAGATTTTTGGATGGGGGGGGGGGTGCATGGAAAGGAAGAGAGTAGGAAGTATTAGGTTTAAGGTTGGGTAAAACACCCGATCAAAGTTTTAGGCATCTACGCAGGGTATAACTTGGAACTTTGTTCCAGTCAAAACTTGGATGATAAAATAACTGAATTTCAAAGAACTGTTAAGTCTTCGGGTGGTAGAAACTTGTCTTTCTATGACAAAGAAACTGTCTTAAAAAGTCTTGCTTTAGCAAAGCTAGTATTATGCTGCTAATATTATAAACGTACCAAACTATGTCATACGCAAAGTAAATAGTTTGATACACAATTTCATATGGAATAATAAGCCAGAAAAAACGCATAGAAAAACCTTAATTTTATTGAATGGGGATTAAAAGTGCTGGACTTTTTAAAAGTAAAAGCTCTAAATGTGTCGTGGAATTAAACAATTTAAATGTGATTCTAAATATAGGTTGTTTCAAAAACATAAATATTGTTTGCTTTGACATACTTGAATTCTATAAAGACGTCATTATTGCTTGTACTGATTATAACAGATGCACAAAGAAACATTTTAAAATATAGGCTGATATTATTAAAGAACAAATATGGCGTAACCATCTAATACCTTTGGAAAGACATTAAAAAACACAAATAATATTGAAAAATATTAAGATGTTGGTAATATTAGCACTAAGAACATAAGAACATAAATGTTAACACAAAATTGATTTACTCATATTTTGTAGATGAAACATTTGTAGTACCAACTGGACAAAGAAAATGGAAAAATAGCTTAGTGATTAAAACATTAATTAGAAATCTTGCGCGACTACATAAAATTTGTAAAATGAAAGATAAAAAGCTTGCGCAATTTAATTACAAAATGCTACATCGAACATTGCCTACTAATGAAAGATTTCATGTCTGGAAAATAAAAGAGACAGAAATTTGCTGTAAATGTGAAATTGTCAAAGATGAAAATTAATTTTTTCGTTGTAAATTTGTCAAATCTTTCTGGAAAAAAGTCAGAATTGTCCTTAGAACTGTGGGGCAACATGATGTATCTTTCAAAAAGATTGTGCCTGGAACAGGAGATGTAGTATCGGACTTCATTTAATTTTCAACTGCTTACATACAAATTCGATTTTATCTGCTCTGAACAAACCAAATACTAAATATTTCTGAATTTCTTCAGATACACTGTATTTTTAAGAATAAAATGTGAAATTTACATAAATAAAGAAAGGGGTAAAAGAAAATTGAATGAAGTGCATAATATTATCTAAGTTTCAAAATGTGTATGTATGTGTGCATGTATACAGTGTACAAAAAAAAAAACGATTAATGAATGATACATCACGTACACATGAATTTTTTGTTTAGCCATTGAGGGTTACACGTTGGTTCCTAGAGACAGGGTGGATATGAAAGGAGGAGGATTAATTCTGTAGGTAACAAGTTGTGATATGACCCGATTTTAGAAGGAATTTTGATGACATTAAGACCAAAATGCCTCCCATGTAAGATATCATATATTTCAGTTGGAGTTCTCTACAACACTCAATGGGTACATGAACAAAACATGTCCAGGTATATTGTTAAATGTATGGACGCTATTCGACGCAAACATCCGGAGACTGGATTCATAATTATGGGGGATTTTAACCATATGAATAATAGACCACTCCGTAACTTTCCAACGAAACAAATTGTCAGCCGTTAAACTAGAGGGAATACATGACTTGTATGAAAAGCCAGTGACTCAACCTGGTCAGAGCCTTTCGAATCACAATGTAGCTATTTGGGAACCAGCCATCACATAGCAATGCTCATGGATTTAAAATCGTCAGAAAAAGAAAAGTAACCCAATACGCAAAAGAGGCTTTTCGCCAGGAACTTAAATCAGTAAGTTGGCAAAGTATGTATAGGATGAACTCTTGTTACGATCAATATACATTTTATATAAATACACTAAAGGGGCTGATGGAGTTTTGCTTTCTATTTTATGAATGCAAAACAATTCTAGGTTACAGACATACTTAAAGGATAGTGGCTGCCCGTCGAATTGCATTTGACAATAACGACAAGGCAAGATTTAGGATACTTCGAAATAAAGTTAACAAAATTGCTAAAGATCACAGAAAGAAATACTACAAACGAACAATGGCCTCCCTTAAGGACTCAGATCCTAAAACAATTCGTCACTTACAGAAAGTTGGGTTCCCGATGACTGGAAATGTGTCGACATCGTACCACTACCAAAAGTCAAGTAGAATAACTACTTCTCGTCATGGCTAAGCCCCAATGGTTGTATTCCACAAGGCTCTTGGTTAGGCCCTGTTATATTTGTCATATTCATGAATGATCTTAAGTGCGCTTTAAGTGCGATACATCCATTTACCAAAGGATAAAGTCGGGATAAATTAGTCATGTGCATGATGTTAATAATCACTTGGTTGTCTTAGAATAGAATGAAATAATTTGGAACAATGTTATTAGCTTTAAGAAGACACCAACCCAGTTCCAGTGAGTTTTAGCACTTAATTCAGAAATTAAGTGTGTTTCATCTATCCATTAGGAGACCATATTGATAGATCATTAAACTGGCAGACCAATGTTAACTACCTGATCAAAAAATGCGGTCCCAGGTTATACTTTCTTAAGAAAGTCCGGAGATCAGGCCTAAATACTTCAGATCTAATCAAATTTCTATATTGCCATGATCAGACCAGTGTTGGACTATTGCTGTACTGTTTGGAAGACTTGTTTCACTAAGGAACAAAGTTCAGACCTCGAATCAGTCCAAAGGAGGGAATTGGGCATCGTGTCACCTGGTATTTCATATGAAACAGCTCTTAACCGGCATACTACCCCAACACTCGCTGATCGTCGCCTCTCACTCTGTTAAATCACCTTCGCATAAATTGCATGTTCTTTTAGCGTCTGCTTCCACCCCCATAAAAAAGAATTACAATCAGTTAGAAACAATCATAAAATTGTTCTTCCTAAAGAGAAGAATAGATCACATATTTCGGCCTGAAGTCATATCAAACAGAGAACTATGGAACAAGCTAATCATCAATAACATTATTCAAATCAAACATAAAATAGAGAATAATACGCATGACTGCTGTGTTCACTCTATCTACTGTGTATATGAATAATCATTAGTTCGATATGACACCAATTCTTGGTGGATTAGTTGCGTACGTATAAAGCACAATTACAGCTAATTAAGCCTCTACACTCTTGCACATTAGTTTCGACAACAAATGTACAGTATTGTTGATATACACCAAAGAGTTTGTGACTTCATTTATAAAAGGTGGAGCTGGATAGGCCACTTTCTCAGACTGGACAAAACGAAACATGCAAAACAGGTTTTAAAATGGCAACCTGAAAGAAAAAGAAGCACAGGAAAACCGAAATCAACATGGAGGAGTATGATGGGCCATCAGGCAGAGGAAAATAGAAAGACATGGAACGAGGTAAACTGGCTGGCATAAGACCGTACCAGTTGGAGTATATTTGTAGACGCCTTATGTGCACCAGTGCACGAAGAGGAGTAAATAAATAAGTAAAGTGAATACGGAACGTTTTAAACGTTTCATTATTATGCAAGCAGTTTTTCAAAGATGGTAGGCCTAATGAATATTGTTGAAATTCAATCATTTGTTATCTATTCATGATTTCAATAAAGTAAAGTTGAGTTAAGTTGAGTATTATTATTTTTATAATTATTGTTTATTATTATTATTATTATTATTATTATTATTATTCATTATTATTATTATTTATTATTATTATTAATTATTATTATTATTTATTATTATTATTGTTATTATTATTCTTATTATTATTGTCATTGTCTTGTATTATTATTATTATTATTATTATTATTATTTTCAAAAGTCATCAAACCTTACATCCTTATCAACATATGTCGATGCGTTGGATCCTAGAAGATTAAGCTTTTCTCCATCAACCACTAGCTGTATAGGTTTGTCATCTACAATCGATATTTCACTTTGGTCATCAAAAATAAGGCAGCGTCGAGCAAGACGAATGTTGCTAGCAACGTCACCAACGGACAACAAAGCACAGTATACACCTAGTTTAATTAATTTTTTCATTTAGATAATTTTGCATTTTCAAATGTGATCTTAAGACTGCACTACTATGCCATCCGTGTGCTGTGGTTTTAATATTGACCCATCAAAATGACAGTAACAATCTGTTTCTATATTCTAAACACGAAAATAACGAGATTTCATAAGGTATTTTCATATAATATGTGAAATACATCTCTATATAAATTATCATTATACTTTTTTTTTTCGACTTTACTCCCTGATGGGTCTCAGGGAGTAAATGCTATGTAACGGAGGCTTAAAAAGCATCGCCTTTCGTCTACCAAACCCTGAGTGGACTAATCATAATTAACTTAATTAAACTTATTCAGTAAGAAACGGTCGGCCAAAATACATTTAAATTATTTTTGTAAGGTCTACCTGGAGAGGTTAGCTCAAACTCTGCCTCATAATAATTTCCAATTTGAAAATAAAGAAGACTGTCACAAGTGTCATTAAAAGTAAGCACGTCATTATTTGCAACCATTTTGCAAATTCTGCAGTCATAAGACGTTGCTGTCAATCCTGAAATATGGTCTATCCATGTTGACCACTTAATCTTCAACTGACTCTGTAAATAATCATAAATAGTTATCCATCATATAAAACCTAGGCGTCAACAAATCGGTTCAATTTTCGTGCGGTTGGTACAATATGTTACGTTTACTTTTTATTGACGCTTATTAAATGTGTAGGCCTATTGGTTTATAAATATTGACTTAATTTAACACATTGTTTTACACATACCATACCAATAAGAAAGGATAATCAAACCAGTTCGTCAACTCCTATTTGATTGATGGAAAATACCAGAGACCAACCCAGGTCTACATATTTAAAAACCACTCCAAAATATTTGATACTGTATTGGCACTAAGTTTGATTTTTAATAAATAATGTTAATATACTTTATATCTTTATCTTTGTTAATTAATTCTCACCGATGTAGTGTATGGATCACCGATGTCAAGTGCATATCCAATGCAAGTCGTATCACGTGGGACATTAAGAGAACAGTGCGATGGTGCATCAATGTCGACAATTATGCTCATATTTCTTGTTACAGTTTTACCCTCATAGTACACGGGATCACCACCTATCCCGATCATTGAATAATCGTAGTTGTTCAGTCGAAGAAATCCTCCATTAGTTGATGAAGCTGTTATTATCAAACTGAAAAGGATATTCTGTAGTGATACTAATGACACATTAATTTCAGACATAATCAATACTTCGGGTGATAAATAATTCTCAAATGTGTGTACTAATTGGGAAACTTTATGTTAACTACTTCTATTTTTATTCCATTTATTTTTATTGTAATCATATTTTAATCAAAACTGGAACTCAGATTCTCCTCCACTGGTGTGGTACAATTAAAAGTAAAATCTAAAATTTCTTTAAAAGAAAAAAAATCTATTTTCAAGTATCTTAGCTGGCAGAGACTAACTTGGATAAGTGCAACGATTGTTTCAACTCTGCGATTATCTTTGGCCCCGCAAGATGATCTCTAATTAATTCAGCCCTTCAAACAAATTATATAAGAACATAGGTGTAATTTGTTTACTTAACAAAACCTTGGTGTTAAAAGATTTGATTTTAGAACAACGATAATGAAAATTCAGAATTGTTCACCACCAAACTAGAGCTCCATTACAAATTTGCTGCCAAATCACCTATATCAGTTTCATCATTATCTCCATAACACAAAAATAATACAAAATATTAATTAGAAAAATAATGTATCTACTATTTTTTTAATCAGAATTCCTTTATAATTTTTTTTTAAATAAATATCTTTAACTACTTTCAAAAAACATATATTTTTTGTCAAGCTTTACCCATTTTACGGCGGTTAAAAGAATTGCTCTAATATGTTCGTTGATTCTTACTTGTCATTGTTTTGAAGATTGTCCAATAATTGTTCATATCGTATACAAACATGTATGCCCTCATTCGGGTGGTCTTCATTGTGGTTCAAACTACAATCAATTTCTCCAGAATCTACTATATTGCCACCTATCAGACATAATTATTACACTACAACATTTTGTGGTTTAAGAAATTAAAATAGAGAAATAACAAATGATACCAATTGATTTTATGATTAATTAATTAATGGGCTATATTGTGTATTTATTATGTCTTCCAATAGAAAATGCATTTAGATCCTTCAATGTTATTTTATACCATAATTATTCCAAAACCACAATGATTAAAAAAAATGTATGAATCTACTTAAGCTATGATGAATCCCGGTTTGTTTTTAACAGGCAAAATGTGAATTCATGCTTTTGTACGGATTTTACTTGAGCAATGAAAACACGTTTACAACATTTATATTCCGTTCTCTACAAACAAGTAAGAGCTAACCATCGTCACAGTATATAATATAACAATTCAAAACTATTTAATTCAGCAGACGATACATGCACCTTATGGTATTTGTTTATTATTTTGTATTAAAGTTCTACACAGATGTGCACTCGGAACTATGGAATCGACTATACGTGACAGCAATTAACTAATGGCAATATGTCAGCCAACATTACAATTTTACATTTGCAGTAAATTATCATTGAACTTGGTAATCCCGGCATAGTTGCTTTGGTGGATCTAAACGCTAGCACTGACATGTAAAGCAAGCAATTAACTATAAAGATATAAACCCATCTGATGGATGAAAAAGAGCTACGGATATAGGGGCCTAAGCCATAACTAATTGTTTAAAACTCAGTATTCACCTCTGTCAATATGCCAATTAACAACTGCTGAAGTCACGCCAACGCTGGAATCGTTGACGTAATAAGGAAATGGATATTCAGTCGCCGAGAACTGAGTTTGCCAATTCACGAGAAAACTATTTCCTTTTATTGATGAATAGATTGTTGATTGCTGGCATAGAATATTGCTTGTATAGATTCCATTGAATCCATTGTCATGTTGCAACAGTATCGAGCAGTTCGTTACTGTTGGCGGCACAGCAACTATCGATAAAATATATTATAGATCATGAGAAAACATGAGAATATACAGTTTTTAATTTATTTCCTAGACTTTGGGATTTTTTTACCCTCCGACCTTAACAACATGTTTCTCAACAACCATTATTAGTTTCTTTCCCTCTTAAAGAAACACATGCAAACGAATGACAATTTCATATCTGTGAATTTGTATTGATTTGATTTTGTTTATTTTTATTGGTATGTTTTTTATACAAATTAATATATTAAATACTTATTTTGATAACAAAAATATTTGTTTGATTTTGGACATTAACTTACTTTCCATGCAGTTGTCATCCAAATCAAAGTCTGCGTCACAAATACAAGTGTTGTTTGAAGAAGCACATTTACCAGGATAGCAAGACCTACTATCATTACGCCAAGAACAAATTGCTATGAAGGGATGGGTAGGAAATAGTTAAATCAATACTAAATGCTCAATTATAATTACATTTGGGAGAAAATAAATGCTCATATAAAATGCTAATACAACAAGTACAGTATTGGTAATATAATTCTTCTGAAGACCTTTTTTCTATGAGGAAATTTAAGCTCAATTAAATCAAAATAAACAAAAAATACTTACGGGTGCACCGACCATTAACTAAGTTAAAGGCCTTTATTTCGTCATTGATGTGGTAAAGACATTTTGTGCACATGAAGTTAGAAGGTGAAGTACAGTCTATCATTTCGCAATTATCAATTTCTGAATTGCAAGCTATTATTTAAAAAAATATGTAAAAAATGAATTTATACTACATTAAGAGGCCTTGTAAATAATACGTAGTAATTTTAATAATAAAAACTATAATAATTGAAATACTAATAATTGTAATAATAATAACAATAATAATAATGATAATGACAGTTATGATATTAGTAACTACTGTATTACTGTTTTATACTTATATAAGTGAACAAATTACTATATTCGCATTTTGGTCCATGGTACCCTAGGTTGCATGTACATATATTAGGGCCTTCGCAGGTTCCGTGAACACATTTGGGTGAACATACAGCTGGAATGATAAACAAATTGAACAGTGAGAAAAATGTAGTGAGTTTGTGTTTCTTAAAAAGTGTATCTAGAACAAAATACTAAACTATGCGTAACTCTCAAAAACTTACGTTCAGTACATTCATCACTGCCAGGGGGCGCTGCATAACCCGGACAACAGACATATCTTGTATTGTAAACAGTTCGATATGCACTAGAATACCGAGACTGTGCTCTGTATTTTGACAGAATAAAAACAGAAAACAAATGTTTTACCACAATATAGAAAACATGTAGGTTTTTCTAAAGCTCTAACCCTTAAAACTATAGAGGCCATGCTTGCGTTTAAAGATACTAAAATAGATGTAGCCCTCAGTCAAGCAGGCATCCATTTATATTCCTGGGTGAAGACAGACCAATGTAGGTAAGGTGTCTTGTCCAAGGACCAAACTTGAAATGACCAGGGAAGTTCGAACCCCCAACCTCAAGGTTCAGATCACTTTTCCGTGAAACGAGGGGCAATATATCTTTTAACACTACAGTAAACCCTTATTAAGGGGACGGGGACAATTTCTGAGAGTGCCAAATGGTCAAATAACCGCTATTAAAGAAACACTTAATTTTTTTATCACTGTATCACAACTACAGCAGTCTCAAAGTAAGAAAAATTCATTCAACTTCATATTTAATACCTTTTGAGCAATAAACCAGAATTTTCTCCCCTGAATCATTAGAGCAAACGTTGGTATAGGCCTACTGAATGTTTTACTTCATATTTTCATATACAAATAAATAATAATTATTATTTGAACGTACACCTTTGTATCAGTGGTACCCGCCAATTTGGCGGTGCGTTCAGAAACTACAATACTTAAACTAAAACTTTAAAAAATAAATTACAAAGATCTTCAATTAAACATAACATAAAGCAAAATAAAGGGGGAAGTAAAACAAAACAAGGAAAAGTGAAAGCTAAAGAAATAATAGTACAATAATTGTTCATGTTGCTACCTAGTTTTATGCGTATACGTGTAGTATATATGTATATAAGACCACACACGCATACACAAACGAATTCATTTCATTTCAATATATTCGGCATTACATCAAAATAGCGAAAACTGTCATAAAAAATAATAAAAACCACAAATTCAGAAAGCAAACAAAAAGTTATAAAATATTCTTTTATCAAAAATGAATTTGAGTTACCTTCAACATCATATACCACTTATAAAAATTGACCAAAAAAAATCAAAAACAGATAATAATGTCAAGATAACCCGTGAAAGTTCAGAAGAACTTGTTTCCAACGGGGTCCTAAAATATCACATAGAAACAAAAAGGGAGACAGACAAAAGAAGTAGTATATGATGTACAAGATAAAAACAATTTATAAAAAAAGAAGACCCGAAGACATACATACACTGCATATATTTACATATATATCCTATACACATACGATATATACATACATATACATATATACACACACACACACACACATATATATATATATATATATATATATATATATATCAATTATTTACATCATTTATACAGTACCTTTTCTTTGTAGATACAAAGCGCTTCTTTTTTCCTGGTCATTGGGTCCTCATGTTTTAAGTGTTGCTGCTGGTAGAAAACATCGCAGGAGTAGGCAACCCCACCAGGTACCCATACCCCTGTGTGTAGAGAACCCTTGCAGTGGTGGTTTGATGAAATTGGGAGGGCATAACATGTACCATACAGGCCCGACAAGACAGGTGATACAGGAGAAGCAATGCAGATAAAGTGCCTTGCTCAAGGATACAAGCAAAATGTACAGTACAGCGAGGGACTTAAATCCCTACCTCTAGGTTTATATTTTTTTTAATAAATTTAAAAAAACTATTGTTGATTTAATTACATTTGTTTTGATTTCATATTATAAATGTATTGTATTTACATTGAAATTTGTTGCTATAAATTAGTTCTAATTCTACTTAGCTGATTTTTATGTCAATAAAAATAAAAATTAAACAGAATTTATGTCATCATTGTATGAAAACATGCCAAAACCCCTATTAAGGGGACAATGTTGCATTTTTGGTTAGTGTCCTATGAATAGGAGTACCGCTATTCAGGGGACACTGCTATTAAGGGGACACTTTTTTTGGTCCCGAAGGTTACTCTTAATAGGGGTTTTACTGTATATATGTTTGCTATATTATAAATGCCAGTTAGCAAGTTCATAACTGACCCACCCTTAACGTAAGACTAAGGTTGCTTTATAATCAGTGACCTCAATGTGGATTCACAGACAATTATGACATGCAAGATATATACGGTATCAGAAGACTGGAGTATAATTATAGAATTACTTATTGCTTACCTGTACCTAGTACACCTACCCCACCCTAGAAACCCACAAGATGTCGAGGTGCTTGACTGGTAGTACGCAAGAGCGGAATAGGTTTGACTTGTACCAATTCGAGTTGAGCATACGTGTTCCCTAAACAAAATATAATTTCAATTTCACTGTGTATCTTAGTAATTTGATGGTTTAAGAAAAAGGTACGACTTAAGCACGGATAATAATCAGAGGCAAAATGAAAAGAATGTAAAAACTGAGAACTAACTGACTTTTTTAACCAGCAGTGGATGCTTAAATGATCAGCTACGTAATATTATGTTATGTTATAGACTACTATTTTCTTGAGTTAGAATTTTGTATTATTTTCACAAGCTTTTACAATCGTAGTGGTATAGAACCAGCAATGCAAAATGATCCCATAATTTCAAGCAATGCGGTTACTTGAATGAGAAAATTACTGAAATTGACTGAAATCAGAAGCTTCGATTTCAAATATTGTCGTAGAAAATATATTTAATATTAGCAATTAATATGTTTAATTAACCAATATTTTTATTTGTATGCGTATTTAGTTCACAAAAAAAATTTTTTCTTACGATAGTAGTAGTTAACTCTGCTTATTTAGCTAGATATGCAAAATATTGATGTCATGAATTATAATAACTTACTACCAAGCAAATAAGAGGATTTATTTGAACTGAATGATATAAATTTTGAGTTTTTTTTTTCTATATTTTTCAGTGGCGGATTCAAGAGGGGCCCAGAAAAATTTTGGGAAAAAATTTCGTAAATCGTAAATTCTGCCCCATGGTGGAGCTGAGGTGGTGTAGACCCTCCATCTGTCAAAGTCCCTCTGATCCCTCTTTATTTCAAATTTCTGCATCCGCACCGTTTTTTGTTAATTTCTTAATATAGTTGTTTCAAAAATTTAGCCCCAAAAGTGGCAATTTTTGTGGTAATGAAGGTGACACAAGACACCTTTTATGAATTAAGTAACTTATTTTCAAATACATTTGCTTTGCTTATTTTCTTTAGTAAAATATTCTAAAACAGACAAACCCATTTTGATTCAAACCAGGTGTGGATTTGAAACTCAGGAATAATCCGACGAATACAACCGAAACCAAATCTTGAAGCGCCATCATCCTTTTACAACAAGAACCCAACAGGGTATCACCTGTTTGTAAACGTAGTAATTGTAAATGTGATATATTTATAACGCGTTTAAACTCTAATAATTTATATTATAGTAGTGTACAGAATTTACAAATGATAAGACATAGACATTAATCCTTATTTTACATACTTTTAGAGATTAAGTTATAATTTGGAATTTCTAAACTACAGAAGGATAATACAATGGTGTACATAACAAAATACATGATATGACGTTTCGTTACTGAATTGGACTTTGGCACTCCATATATAGAATAGCGCCCTCAGAAAAGGGGAAGAGTTGGAAGCAACAGAGAGAGATCATTCGGGATTGCCTAACTAAGTTGATACAAAATAGTTTGCTTTTCTGTTTGTTCATTTTGGACTTTTGAAAATTTGATTTGAGTTTGGGTAACCGTGTAAGTTGTAGTTTTTTCAAATGTATTTATACTTCTATTTATATAAAATGTTACTTGCATCAAGGCCATTAAAACTAGGATGTAATCACACCGGTACTGTAGTACTAATAATAGCGACCAGTTGTCGCCGTCACATGTTAAACAAACTATAGGCTAACCTTTCGTACGCTTGAACTTCTATTTCATAACGATTTATACAAAGATGTTATGTTATGTTCTATTTTAAGCTTTACCAGAGGTTTATGAATAAACGGTTAAAGTACAAATCCAGAGACTCAAAATTCGTTTACGTGTATCGTTTTAAAGTCCAAAACAGTTACATAATACTGTCTGTCCCATTTGACTGTAGTAATTGTTTACTTACTGTATGTAAATATTCGTATTTTATGCATATCATTATGATCCAACTCATCCGTTCTTTCACATATTAAAGAGTGATATTTATTCTAATAAAAATTGCAATATTGAAAACAGGTTAAATTACAACAGTAGGGCTGTGCGACTGTGTGTAGAAACTAGTCGTGTATAAAAGTCTGAATGAAACAGTGTAATGACGACAATGATGATAATGATGATGAGGATGATGATGATGATGTGATGATGATGATAATGCCAGATATGATGACCAGATTTGGTCATAGTCTGTAATAAATTGGGGTTTTTTTAAGTAATACAGGAAATAACAAAGAAAAATCCCAAGGTTCAATAAAATCAACTGTTCACTTGATGCATATATTTATACATAAGCTAGGTAAAACAGATTTAGTTTCGTTAGTGTACAGGTTAGAACATGAAAAGGGAATTTTGTCACATTTGGCGCCTGGTTGGTTTTCCTTATATATAGATTGCATGTAGAGCATTTGGCTAACAAAAGCAATAATATAAAGAAACGGAGAACCATTTTACAGTTTATTTGTACTGTATGAGCCTCGGGCATTAATAATGGGCTCAGTGAAAATAACAAAGAAATCAAAAACTAACTTCCGTAAAGCGATTCGAAAGGCCATTTATTATTAAACTTAGGTTTCGAAACCAAAACAGGACACATTATAATACACATTATAAATGTATATTCTGAGTAATATATGTTATATAATTACAAAAAATATTATACAATTAGTATATGCTATGTTCAAATCAAACATGATAAAGGGGAAAAGAAAAACATGTTAATATATATATATATGTATGTTAATAAAGCGATAGGCTTTTAAAATCATCATTATATTAAAAAAAGTAGTCAAATAATTTATCAATTTAAAAGCAAGCATATTTAGTTACAAAAATCTATTTAATTTAAATAATTATAATAAATTCATTTTTAATGTCATTCCTCAATAAGATAAGCCAATATACGCCTTTCTTGTATGTGAAGATTATTCAAGGATTGTACCGTAATTCAACAGATTCATGTCGTTGATTTAATGTCAGATAAAATATACATTACATGAAGCATGTTTTTCGTTCCACCTACAGGCACAGGCAGTTACCGATATTTCCGATCCATTGAAAACGGCATTCAATGTCATGGATCTGGCTCGTTATTATTGAGTGCACGTTTTGTTATTATGATCTGGTTGTTTTTTTTTTTTGGGGGGTTTTTTTTTGTAAGCCGAACTGAGCTTTATTGCGATCTTGAATAAAGGCCTATAGAAATGTAAGTGTGAGAAAGGCGCCTTCTTGGTTATCTCATATTCTAACAGCATGAACCTAATAATATCATTAATAGGTCCATAGTAACAGAAAATAGTTTAGAACTTAGATTTTAGTGTCATAGTAATTCAAATTATCTACGGTACCTCTATAAATACTCCGTATGAAAGGAACATTCATATTCATTGCTCGGACGTTGCAAGACAAGCAGGCTATCTCATAATAGGTCATACGACGGGACACTTTATGCCTATAAACAACAACTTTTAATTGTTATACAGTATTACACTTGTGTAGTAGAAGTGGGTAAGTTAATATCACTGGCAGCTCTTTACTAGTGACCAGATTTGTAATCGGCCTAAAAAATAAACAGCCAAAAGTTATTATGAGCTGACTAATTAATGTTAAGCAATCGTAGAATCAATGCCGTAGTCTAAATTATGCTGTTTTATAGACAAAATAAGTCCACTTTTTGAAAAATGGGTCAAATTGTCTTATTTTTTGCGTAAAATGGGTCAACTTTTAGGAAAATGGGTCCTGATTTTTCATATATTTGCGTAAAATGGGTCAACTTTGAAGAAAATGGGTCCACATAATTTTAATTTATGCGTAAAGTTGGACCAATCCTGGCTCGGATTGGCTACAGTGTAAGGCTTAACATTCTACCAATTTATCTGGTTATTCGGAGTATGTTCATGAGTTAAAGCCATGATATTCTCAACACTGAGAGGTGGCAGGCGCCTTCAGATAGCCTTTTTTTTACTCAATTTTACTATGATCAGAGGAATACCACTGCTTTAGATTTTCCTGAGAAATACTTTTGCCCTGTATGAATTAAATCTCATAGTTACGGTACTTCTTTGAATGTGGCCAACAGAACATTAATTTTCCAAACAAAATATTAGACTTTAGCCCACATAGTTCTTGGGGTGTGGTGATGATTTTAATGATGTATATAATTATGTTGTTGATAATGGTGTTGAGTGATGGCTTAAGTGATTAGGATACCGACAATTACCAGTAATAATTATGCGACTTTAAAAAGTGTCTTTTTATTCCTATTTCCTTTCTTTATCATGTATATTTTGATAAATGTTAGCAACTTTTTGGATACTTTGCTTATTAGTGTTAAGCCGATATAAACAAAGTCCACCAGTATCTTTCGAACTGCTTTTTGGAGCCTTCTTCAGTTTGAACGGCATTATGCCTCTGTAGGTCATAGATATAGTGTAATGGTGACAGAGTGCAATCATCGATGTGTCCCAGATATTCATTGTAGATGTGCGACAACTCATATGCTCCTTCAACAATGAAGACATGCTTTCCTACCGTCTGATCCACGTACCTTCTCTTCAAAGTCAGTATTTCAGAAAAATGCCTTTGTTAAAATAAAAGGATGGTTATTCTAAAGGGCTCTTTGCTGGTGAATGTATGGCTTGCGAAATCGATGCGGATTTGAAATAATTTTGACTGTTCGTTTTTCAAACAAAATAACTTTTGTAAGATTTAGTAAGACGCTGTCATCCAGGTAAGAAGACCATGCTTTAAATATCTTGAAATAGGTGAATCACAAATCAACTTAATGACAGGCCTAAAAACTCTTGTACCAAAATAAAAACAGTCTAAATTACCTAAATGTCTTATTGTTAGAAACCGAGAAATAACTGATAATTTGTCTATTGCTAACGCATTTAATAACCTTTTCACTAGTATTTGTACTGATCTGCAAGGTAATATTTCCAGGCCAGGGACGGATCCAGGAATTTAGTGGGCCTGTATATCGTGAATATCAGTGTCGTGCATATTTTTTGTTAAAAGCAAATTTTGACTTGATTTCATATCTTAATAATATAAGGGAAAAATTTAAAGGACCAAATTCAAGATGGTGGCCATCATTCAAATAACTACTATTTCCTTATCTATTTATTCTCTGCGTAGAACTTTTGGCGAACAATATTAGAAAAAATAATAACATTAAAGGAATTAAGATTAATGAAATGAAAAATGATTCACATTGAGTCATTCTGCCATAGCATGAAAACTAAATGCATCCAAAGACTGTTTTTAAATAAACCAAGAAAATGAACCATTTTTTGTTTTACCACTCTACTAAATTATTAGGTGGAAGTCTAATCTGGAAATGTAATTTTAAACATAATGAAATTTTTTTGGACATAATAAAAAACGAATTTATAAAACATGTTTTGGTGGAATGGAGCAAATATATTTTTACAAATAGTGAGAGTATTATTAATCGGAAGCATCAAATCATATGGTGTAATAGTCTGATTAAGTCAAATAATCATGTTTTATTACCTCCTCTAACTCTCTTGCATAAAGTAAAATATGTAAATGATACTTTAGATGAAGGAGGTACTGCTTTAAATTATAATAACTTCAAGACCAAATTTTAAACCATGTTTGGTTTTTTATCGTATTACAAAATAATATCAGCAATTCCAAGAGATTGGCTAAAATTATGTAAAAATTAAGATGAACTTAAATCTGATAATACAGCTGAAGATATCAATTTTTGCTTTTCTGCCAAAAAAAACTACTCGCCTTGTTTATTGTAAGTTAAAAAGTAAGCATTCCTCGAAACCGATTTCTGAATTGAAATGGATCTCTCAAACTACATTTCCTGTTGATTTCGACTGAGTTTTGCTTATAAAATACATTTTGAATGCCCCACCGATTCAAAATTACAATATTTCCAATAGGAGGAAAAAAAGGGGTGTTTTTTTTGTTTTTTCTTTTCTTTCTATCTCCATTGGCTTATATGCTAATTTGTTAATAAATATGAAAATCCGTGTAAAAATCATATTGCTGCCTAAAAACCAAACAAAAAATAAGTTATATGAAATTTGCTTGTCAATTGTTTTCAAACCTACATTTCTGCCTCCCCCCCCCCCCCACCAAAAAAAATTGTTTGTCAAAAGCTATTTCTGAA